GAGCCATTTCTGCCTTGCGTTGGTGCATGCTGGACACTGGTCTCACTTCTCCTACAGTTTCTCCCGTGATCTAAAACAAACACTCATCAATTAAAATCTCTCTTTTTAATTAATTAATTAATTGATGATATATTATTTAGTTATTGAACAAAATTAAATACCTCTCTTGGCATAAGAGTAGTGGGAATGACCCTGCAATAACAGGGTAGAAAAAGGTTGTTGAAGATGATGATAATATATAACAAGTACATATATATAAATTAATTAAGAAAGAAAGAGATTGATACATATGTAGAATTACCCTAACACGTGGCGTCCACCATCAAACACCACTTGTGAGATTAACCCCATCAACCCAATGCTCCCTCCTCCATAAACCAAGTCAATCTTCCTCTCCACCTGCATTCAATTCAACTCATGATATTAACTAGTAACCCTTCAGTGGTCACAAAGTATGTAACTTGCTCCATGCTTTAATTTTGTGACTAAAAAGGATGAAGAAAAAAAGAGAATAATTTAGATTACAAGCTGTTTGCCTAGTTGAATAGCAGCAACTTGGTAACTGGGGTTCTTCCCAGGGCTGGTGCCACAGAAGACACAGATTCGTCTGAACCTAGACTTCATGTTCATGTTCATGTTCATGGGTTCTTGTTGGTGTTGAATTTCCATAATAGGAAAACTGAAATTAATAATAATGAAAGGTGGGAGAGGGACAGAGAGAATAGAATAGTAAGAATATATAAAGGAAATTAGTGAGAAGAAGCTAAGGAGAGTTTCTTTGTGAAAACAAATTTCCCAAAAGTGATGAGAGTTGGTGTCACTTAAATAATCGCAGAATCAGATCCATCTTCTATGCCTCCTTCCCACACACACACACGAGATAGATAATATCGCATATCAATGTCTGCAATGCATCACATCTTACATCATTATCTCAATTTATCGTCGCCACTATAAACTCGTGACATATTCCTCCTTCAAAACAATATGGTTTCCTTCCCATCATCTTATTTTTCTTATACTATTTAAACTCTAAACATTACACTTTCTTTTCCCAAGAGCTTAATTTTAGTGGAATGTCAATGTAACCATTTTTATACTTCTCGATAAATAAAATATGAATCAAATTTAGATTTAATATCGTAAATATTATTCATATTGTTCTTTTAATTAAAATTAAAATTTTATTTTAGTAATATATATTTATATTTAATACAGAGCTCTGTACTATATATTATGAATATTATTGAAAAAAAGAATAATTTTCATTAAAGAATAACACTAAATTTTACTTATAAAATATGTTAAATTATATTTTTAGTTTATTTATTCATGGTAATGTTTAATGTTCTTGATTTTTACCTTTAACTTGATTTTAAGTTTATCTTGACTATTAAAAATTTAGTTCATTTATTTATGAATGTTTAATTTGATCTTACTATTTTTAAATGATTTAATTTAGTTATCTAATTTTTAAAAGATGTTCAATGTTGTTCTTTCGTTCAGTTTTATCAACGTTATTAATGTCAATTTAGGTAGAAAAAAAATATTGAATATTAAAAAAAAATTAAATAACTAAATTAAATTATTTTAAAATATTAGAATCAAATTGAATCTTAAAAATAAATGAAAGGACCAAAAATATAATTTAACCTATAAAATATTAGGATAAATTATTCAGTTGATTTTTATATTTGTGTTATTTTTAAGTTTTGGTGTATGTAAAAAAATTGACTCGAATTGAATTAAATTGACAGTGAAATGAATTAAACTATAAAAATTAAACTATTCTTATGAAAAATTGAATTGAACCTGTACTGACCGCATTTCGCACCCGGGCTCTCAGCCCGGGTTGACATTATAAGGGTCATCCCGGACACGCGTTGAACAACGTCAGCCCGGAATCCGGACAGATCACGCCCGAGCCCGGAGATCTCGTCCCAGGCCAAAACCGTTCTCCAATTATACCATATTATGTCACAACGTGATCATATCATATGATATGATATCGTATCATATCATATCTTATCTCAGGCCCAAGACAACCCTAACTCACACAAAGGTATGTGCATTATATATATACGAGACTCATACTCATACAAACCCTTAAAATATTTTGTTTTGGTATACCATGTCATCCAAATTCCAATTGGAAGAAAATAAACTAAGTTAAAACTCCATTTTTGGTATACCGTGTCATCCAAATTCCGATTGGAAGAAAATAAATTGTTAAAAAATTCCATTTTTGGTATACCATGTCATCCAAATTCCGATTCGAAGAAAATAAACTAAGTTATAATCTATGTTTTTGTAAAGCGTGATCTCCCAAATTCCAATCTTAGGAAAATGGGAAAATGAACTAAGTCAAATTTTAAGTTGATTGATAGAAACATACCATTCAAATTCTTTGGTCTTCGAGTTATTTATACTCGCCCAGTCGGAATTTAACCGATCAATCACGAGTTTGGTCTTCGAGTTATTTATACTCGCCCAGTCGGAATTAACCGATCAATCACGAATTTGGTCTTCGAGTTATTTATACTCGCCCAGTCGGAATTTAACCGATCAATCACGAGTTTGGTCTTCGAGTTATTTATACTCGCTCAGTCGGATTTTTACCGATCAATCACGAGTTTGGTCTTCGAGTTATTTATACTCGTCCAGTCGGATTTTTACCGATCAATCACGAGTTTGGTCTTCGAGTTATTTATACTCGCCCAGTCGGATTTTTACCGATCAATCACGAGTTTGGTCTTCGAGTTATTTATACTCGCCCAGTCAGAATTTTACCGATTAATCACGAGTTTGGTCTTCGAGTTATTTATACTCGCCCAGTCGGAATTTAACCGATCAATCACGAGTTTGGTCTTCGAGTTATTTATACTTGTCCATTCGGAATTTAACCGATCAATCACGAGTTTGATCTAAACCATGAACTATATATGTAAAATTGAAAATTTGATATTTATTGCTTACTTGTGCCTCGTTAAAGACCTTCTCGATTTTCTGCTGCTCTTTTATTGATCTGTCCTTCCTCCGTCTTTATATGGCTCAGGGTGAAAGCTCTTACCTTCGACATCGTTTGACAATTTGCTCTTTCCAGTGCGACATCGAAATCACCTGACCTTAGTCCCTTTTGAAAGGCGATGACCGCCATCTTCTCGTCCAAGGATGCTATCCTCAAAGCCACTTTGTTAAACCTTTGCAAAAAGTCCTTCAACGACTCCTCACGTTGCTGCTTGAGATCGAACAAATCCGACGTGATCGGTGGTTTCCTCTTATTTGCCACAAATTATGCCATGAAAAGCTGACTGAAAACATTAAAGTCGGTGATCGATCGGTCAGGAAGACCGCTGAACCAATCGAGGGCCGCCTTTTTGAGTGTTCCCATGAACAGTTTGCATCAGACTTCCATACTCCCCCCACATATCAACATCTAAGCGCAGAAATCCGTCAGGTTCTGAATAGGATCCTGTGTCCCATCAAAAGGTTCCACCTGGGGGACTCGGTGGTCTCTCGGAATGATTTCGGCCTCTATAACCTCCGAGAAAGGTCTAAAGTCCCTTGGGACTTGCGTCATCACGTCTTCCTCCACCGTTCTGATATTATCTGCCATCATGGCTTGCATCTTATCGGCTCGTCGTCTGATTTCCTCGTTCTCCTGCTTAATGGCCTCCTCCCTTTCCCTAGATCGCGCATTCTCCTCTCTTAAGTCGTTGATCAATGCCATCATCTCCTCCATAGTAGGGTGTTGTGGGTCGTGGTTTGGTGCGCCGCCTCTCGCCATTTTTCGTAGCTTTTTGTTCTTCAAGTTTTTTTTTTTTGTATTTCTTGGGGCGTAGGAAAAGTTTCACCGTAGCCCCACGGTGGGCGCCAAAATATTCC